AAAAAAAAAAAAAAGAGAAAAAGAAAAGAAAAGAAAAGAAAGAAAAGAGAGAAAAAGGGAGAGAGAGAAATAAAATGGAAAGGTGGATAGACTATTGAACTTTATAGTATTCCTTTGGCTCTCTATCCCAGTCAATAATCCTGGTATAGTTGGGCACCCTTGCTTTCCCCATAAAACGGGGTGAGCATTGCAATATCTTTGCCAGAAGGCGTGCAGTACTACTAAGAAAAGCTGGATCAGAAAAACATTCCTGTATCTTATACCTTTTAGCACCCTTTCAGTTCTTGAACACGTACTGTCTATTCCCTCAGTTGGTCTCCCAACCACCTTTCCCTCCCTCTGTTGATGAAAATACATCATGGCGTTGTACTCGTCCATCTGCTCGTCTCGCCCTCGTTCTCTTTACCGATCTGCTATCTCATTCTTAAGTAGGGCATGCACCTCCCAAGTGTCAAGCAAACAGCATAGTACACTATACAAGACCCTACCGGGAAGTGCTACTATCCAAGATTGTACAATAAACACGACAACATCTTCCACTACTGTTACTTGAGCTACCTTACAAGCTTCTAATCATAGGCTTATAATCCACGCCGACTACTCCTAATCTGGTTAGTCAAGCGCTACGTGCCCTGCATTCTATTTGATTAAACTTCCCTCCCTCCTACTTTTTCTCCAAGTCGGCAGTGCTCCTCATAATAACCCAACATGCCAAACACCCCAATATCCTTCGACAGAAATGGCCTCTACATTCTAGTCTCCGACATCGGCTCCGACATTCAATTCCACTGGGCATTCTACCTTGTCCAAAGCCGGGGCCAAGGAATCATGTTTCATGTGATCAACAGCCTCGAGACGGGCAATCAATGGCAGTATCAAACGAAGCCTATTATCGGGACTCCATATTCACTGAACTTACTGATCGCTGTAAAGATCGCGGTGATGGACCCTGCATTGCATCGCGCTCTGGCAGATCGCCTCGCTGCTGTTCCTGATACCCCGCCCATCACTTGTCGCTTGTGGCTCAAACGAGCACTGCTTGAACTTGATGAGGAGGGGTACATTCAACTCACGGGGAAGGTTGATGATATCGAACAGGAGGCACTTATTGAGGCGGCAGAGAATCAGCCACGGAGGATACGTACTGGGCTTTGTAGTCGGTATTGTGTTGTTTAGCATATTCATCGAATTTCGCTTCAAAGGTAGGTTACCCTATCGATTGCTTCCATATTTGGAGATATCCAGCGAAGGGATGAGGGCTAGATTTATACTTTCCGTGCCGGATTGATGCCTCAGGCCTTTAACGTGGTGCAACCTTGAAGTTCAAATTGAATTTCATCCCCACACCTTAACAAGGTCCAACTTCCGAGACTTCATGTAAACCAACATTTGATATACAAGGCTTTCCATGCGTCATGAATAAAAGTATTCTATGCCTATCTTCCGTGTATTGTCATCGTTGTACCACAAATATGAGATTCTATACGTGCTTCGAGCAATAATCGGCTGAGAGAGACCCTGCAGCCAAAGAATTACATTTTCAATATGAATGAAAAAGCCAGCGATGGAAATAATCCGAAAGTCCCAAAATCCCTAGCAAAAGTTCCCATGTGGGAGAAGCTTCAAGATAAATTCAATCCGAGGCCTCCGGACGATGACGAGCCGCAAGATTGGTGGTTCGCCTCAACCGCCATCCCCTTGATAGCTGCGACGACCAGTCCCTTTGCAAACGTGATGTCGGTGGTCGCGCTGGCTATGTCTTGGAAAAGTGAAATCCATCCTGAAAAACAGGATCCGGAGGGAAACCCGGTGCAGGTGTTGCTGGCTGATCCTAGATGGTATAACCCGGTATTCCCTAGTAGTGATGTGGCCCACACTAACTGTGCCAGGTGTATTGGTCTGAACGCCACCTCCCTTGCCTTTGGAGTGCTAGGGAATCTTTTTCTTTTGTTCAACTTCACCCGGACTATCCGGTATATTATAGCCTTGCCTGCTTCTATTATTCTTTGGTCCTTAGCGACCGCCATTGTAGGTGCTTAAGACCATAAGTCTCATCGACTATGGCTAACGCGCACAGTTGGTCGGAATCACCAGCTCAGTGCATATCTATGCTAGCCCGATACCTCCAAATCAGACCTATTCGCAGGCATACTGGTATGCGGTAATTGCAGCGATCCACTATTTCATCCTCACCACTATTTTAATGATTAACATGCTTGGATACTTTCTTGGACATTACCCTCAATATTTTGCATTGACAGATGGTCAACGGACCTTGATTCTCCAGACTACTGCTTTTGGGATCTGGTTAATAGTAGGCGCCGCTGTCTTCCAGAAGGTCATAGGGATATCAATCGCAGAAGCACTATATTTCTGCGATATAACAATTCTGACTCTTGGATTTGGCGATGTCACCCCCAAAACCCCTGTTGGGAGAGGTCTTGTCTTTCCCTACGCCGTGATTGGAATAATCATCTTGGGTCTGGTAGTGGGGAGTATCAACAAGATCATCCGAGACCTCCAAGACACAAACGTCGTGCAAAAGCACACCGAACGACGACGGGAAGCGACAATCTCACGATCTCTCATGGAAGAAGACCTCCAAAGCAGACTGAGGCTGACACCCAACACATCCAGAATCGCATATCGACCCAAACACACCCGAAAAACACCCATCATGAGTAAAGTGACGGCCATCTACCGCGACGCAATCGGTCGACCAAAGGACATCGTCATGAAAGAGGAAAAGGACAGGTTCGACGCCATGCGCGCCATCCAATACGAAAGTGTAGTCTTCCGTCGATGGTACCGGCTCATACTCAGTCTCATTGCCTTTGGAATCCTGTGGACCTGCGGCGCCGTGGTATTCTGGGCCTTGGAGGAGCAGTTTACGTACTTTGAGGCCTTGTATTTTGCTTTCTGCTCTCTTTTGACTATTGGTTACGGGGACATCACACCCACCACCAACGCGGCGAAGCCTTTCTTCGTCGTGTGGTCGCTCATCGCCATCCCAACCATGACCTCGCTGATCTCCGAGATGAGCAATACCGTCGTTGCGGTGTTCAAGCACGCTACCAGTCAAGTCGCGGACTATACCGTCCTCCCCCGTACCGGGAAGTACAAGTCCTTCATCGCCAGGTTTCCCCCGATTCTGGCCTATCTGGAGAAACGGGAGCAGAACAAACGAGTCGCCCGGGGATTTCAAATCGGCCCAGATGACGTAGAAGGGACCCAGAACGGCGAGTCCTCCAGCGGCGCAAGGAACATACAACCGATCGGTAAACAAGATGAGAAAGAGCCTTCGGACTTCGAGCTAGCCCAGCGTCTCGCGTTCGCCATACGTCGGACGACCCGGGATGCCGTCAATGGCCATCCGAAGCGCTACAGCTACGAGGAGTGGGTGGAGTTTACCCGAATGATTCGATTCACGGATCCGAGTCCGGGGGATACGGTTTTGTATGAAGATGAATATGGGATTTTGAATTGGGACTGGATGGGTGAGAACAGTCCCATGTTAGCTTCACAGACCGAGCCAGAGTGGGTTCTTGATCGTCTTTGCGAGAGTATGATCCGGTTTATCTCCACGCAGGCTCAGAAGAGACAGTCGGGTGGAGGTGTAGGGGACGTAGACGAGGATGAACCGACGTTAAGAAAGGAGAAAGATATTTGATGTTATTTATAATGATAATCAATTCGATATCTCATCCACCATAGAGAGTATATGCACAACGAAATACATACCCATCGGTCAGGCACAATCCCATAACCAACCAATTCCTCAACCAAGGATATCTCAAAGCCACCAGGCTCTACTAGTCCAAACCCCCGAAACCAATAGAATGGCCAGTTAAGCCTCTTGCATCATCGACACCCATCCTGACGACATCCCTCCCCCCAGATTAATAGAAATACATCATAGGTCCAGAACACACTTAAGCAACAGCAACAACCCTAACCTAAACTCTAAAGTCACTTTCTATACTCCATCCTAAATCCTATCTATCAGAACCTCAATAAAATCATAAACAACAAAAAAAAAAAAAAAAAAAAAACAAACCCCCCCCTTCTTCCCCCATAATAATCCTTTCATAAGTAATAATGTCTCCATTACGGATGGAATACTCGGCAACCCCACTCTCACAGCGGCTAATTCCGCGGGTGAAAACAAAAAAACGTGGATTTGTCATCCGAGACGAAATCTTAGGAAGCAATTGGATTTCGGGTCGGACGAACTTCTCGGAAATGGGAACTCCGCAGATAGAAATTATAAATAACAAGTTATACTTACCTTCATGTAAACAACTCTATTGAATATCAACAATTCCAATCCAGATTCCTTTGAAACAGACCAGACCAGATCAGGTTAAATACAACAACACAAAATAGTCAAGATGACTTACTTCGGAAAGGTTTATACTTATCCTAATAACCCGAGGGTTATGAAGGTATGTTATGTTGTTTATCCATATCATTCCAGTAACATAAAAATAATACAATATACCCCTCCTACTTACCCCTCACCACCAACCATACATACTTACAAACCCAACTCAACAACCACAACAACAACAACAACAACAACAACAACAACAACCACAACAACAACAACAATAACCATAACCACCACAAAACATCCCCCAAAGAATCAAACCATACCATACTAATGTAATAAACCCCAGGTCCAAGCCGCCGGCAACCTCAACTCCCTCGAAATCACCACCGCCCCCGACTTCCAAATGGGCGTTACAAACCGCAGCCCCGAATTTCTTTCCAAATTCCCCATGGGCAAGGCCCCCGCATTCGAAGGCGCGGACGGCACCCTCCTCTTCGAATCAGACGCCATAGCCCAATACGTGGCCGAGAGTGGTCCGGCCAAGGACCAGCTGCTGGGTGTGTCGGCGGCTGAGCGCGCGCATATCCGGCAGTGGATTTGCTTCGCGGAGGGAGATGCTATGGGCGCCGTGGTGCCGTTTGCGTTGTGGCATATGAAGATGGTGGAGTATACCGCGGAGGAATTGGAGAAGCATTTGGCGAAGGTGGAGAGGGCGGTGGGTGCTGTTGAGACGCATTTGAAGACTAATGGGGGTAGGAAGTGGTTGGCCACGGAGGAGAAGTTGAGTTTGGCAGATATTAGCCTTGTGGCGGCGCTGAATTGGGGATTTGCTATTGTTTTGGATGAGGAGCTGAGGGCAAAGTATCCGAATGTTGTGGCCTGGTATGAGAGGACGATTGAGAGTGAGGGGGTGAAGCAGGCGTTTGGCGAGAAGAGGTTTGTTGAGAAGAGGGCTGCTTTCTAATTAAGTGGGCTTTCTTTTTATATCTCTACTGAGATTGGGCTGGTAGCGCAGTCTGGATTATGAGGAATGAATATGGACATACATAAGTAAGTAAAAAATAACAATTTAAAAACTAGTGTAACACTGCTTTCATTCCCACGGTATAGAAGATATCTTTAACAAGAAGAATGACACTAATAATGACACTTCATTACTTTCATGCTCGGGCAAAGCGAGGCCCATCCAACTGTACACTTACAACGTCAATCAAAGACGCGCCATGACACCTCCCTCCTTGCCCTCCTTGCTCAACGACCGGGCAATGTTCTGACTGGCCCAATCGGCAATCGCCATGTTGGTTACCATGGGATTGACGCCACTGGCACTGGGGAATACGGATGCATCGACCACATACAATCCGCGCGTACCCCAGACCTGACAATCAGGGTCCACCACGCTAGTCCGCGGGGAGCTGCCCATGCGACAGGTACCCATCTGGTGCGCCGCGGCATATGTAGTCTTTTCGGGGTCGAGCGTCTTGCTCCGGGCTTCCGCAATCCATGCCTGCAGGGCAGCATTGTTGGTGCCCTCGGGCGACGCAGGGTCCGATGCATCCTCGGGCCGGATAAAAGGCGGGATTTCGCGGCTCGAGGTGTGAAACTCCTTAGCCCCGGAGATGTACGCCATCTTCGCAGTGGCTATAACGGCCTCGAGGATATGCTTGCGATCGAAGGCGGAAACCGTATAGTCAACCCGGGGTCGTCCATCGACAGGGTCCGGATATACGCGACCACTGTCCCGATCCTTCGTGAGGCTGATGAAGCCGGCCATGTGGGGGAGTTTGGCCACAAATCGCTTCCAATCCAGCCCGTCGCGCCAGGGGAAGGCCGGAAGGAAGGCTGGAGGCAACATCGTGAGACACTCGATCTTGACCCCATGGCCTTGTTGGTCGAGGTTCTCAAACTCATTGACAACGGCTGTCAGGGCGGCCCCTTCCCACGGACGAGTCTGTTCCTCAAACACGGCGCCCGAGATCATGACTAGAAATGCGATCAGTATGCGACCTACAAAGCGATAGATGAAGCGTACCTGGATGTAGGTGAAGGTTTCGACCAATGTGAGGGTTCTTAAGACCACTGCGTAACAGCAGAAGAGGGCTTTGCAGCGTGCCACAAGAGACAACAACCCTCTTGGCTTTAATGATCAGCTTGCGCTTCACGGCGCTCACTCCGGACACGCCGAGGTATGCGTCCCGTGAGGTCCATACACCCTCCACGCCCGAGGCCACCCTGCCGCCCCGTGTCTCCGTGAACAGGACCTTTTCTACGCGGAAGCCTTCCACGAAGGTGGCACCAGCATGGGCAGCATCCGCCAAAAACGATTCCGTGGGACCCTTCTTGCCTGCCGAATGGCACCCCATCGTGCAATGGCCACAGTAATGCTCGGTGCCGCCAGTGTTTTGCGGTACAGGGTTCGCTGCATAGCCTAGTTTGTGGGCTCCTTCCAGCAGAACACGGTTCTGCTTGTTGTGAGTCGTGTGATCTGCGCTGACACCCATCCGATCACACACACGATCCAGTGAATTCTGGAATTCCAGGGACGTGAACAATGGCAAACCGCCCTTCGCCCATTCCTCACGGACATAGTTCTGCGTCTGGAGAGCCGCCGACCAGTTGATGGTACCGCCACCTCCCCAGGTTGCGCCGGCGAAGATCCCGATTGAACCGTCGTTGGTCGAGACAGCACCCCCGCCCTCAAACATACTCACCGATCCCTCGCTAAAGTTCATGGGAAAGTACTTTGTTGAGTATTGATAGGCCTTTTCAACCACCACGACCTTATAGCCTGCTTCGGCGAGGTTCTTGGCGGTTACGCTACCTCCACAACCGCTTCCAACGATGACTACGTCGGTCTCAATTGTCTCTGGTCCATCTCCCGGCGGGAATTGCAGAAACTCGTACTCGAAGCCATCGGCGGGACTGCCGTGCACCGGGACCCGGGGGAATCCAATGGTTGGGCAAAGCGTAGGGCTATAAGTAAGCCATGTCCTCTTGCAAATGGCTGACAGTGCTCGGTAGATGACGCGCAGAGGCTTTAGCCTAGATGTTTCCCAGCCACGAAATATTCTCTCCCGGACATGGAACGGCTGGTCCTGGAGAGGGGTAGTTGATCCCGTCAAAATCAATGAACCAGCTTTCGAGCTAGAATAATGTCAACTACATTGTTGTCCTTCCGAACCTGACATCCAAGAACACATACTTGAGGGTATTCAATATGAAGCCCAAGCCATTCCTGCCTTCCTCATGAACATATTCAGAGATAAGGCGCTGTAGCCCCGGCCGGAAATGGGGATTCGACGAGGCATTTTCTTCGAGGTACCGTGTTGCCAGGGCAGTGGCATCCGAGCCAGAGATGTTGGCCGTTAATGATGAGAGGCTGGCATCGAACTGGGCCTGCGGAATCACTTTGGCGGTGAACGATTTAGCAGCATTAGGGCCACGAATTGATGGAATGACCGTATCCGCTATTGACATAAGAGTGGCCCATTGCAGTTCGGAGAAGATCTCCCTGGTAGGCACCGGAGGAATAGGAACCTCCAGGGGAGTGTACGCCACGGCTTGTTCGGTCATTGCGGACGTTGACCGACCAGGTGAAAATGGTGGGTAAAAATGGTGCAATGTAGAGATATTGGAAAAGGCCAGGACTTTATGACGCCCGATGGAAGAATCAACGAGAGAATAAGGGGGGGTATAATAGGACCGGAGGTGAGGGTAACAAAGTTAAGTTATAGAACAAAGACTGACAGATTCGCGTCAGTGCGCCTTCCGTGCCATGACAATCACCCAGAAGAGTAGTGCTTGCGAAGAAAAGGCCACGGCGGGGCCCCAAGTGGATTTTAGTCTCGGCTACCAGACCACCCAATTTTGAAGACACCCAATTGTTCTCCTGGATCTGAGCCTCTACCCCGGACCACAACCATACCTGCCAATGCATAATGGCCATAATCCAGGATCCATCGGACAATTAAGGGAGGAACCGAGGCTATTGCAGACAGCCTGTCGGGCCATGTGGGTCAGTGCCTTCACACTGGTTGGAGCAGGATTCAATCAGCCTATCGTTGCGATGATCATTGCAGGGGCTAAGCTCGAGTTGTATGAGCCAGTGCGGGGGGGGGGGGGGGGGGAAAGAGCCGGTTCCATGTGAAATCGTGGCTCGGATGAACCAGAAGTTCAGAACTTCAAACAATGAACCAAAGGATGATCGATCTTCACTGGATCATCCGACTGCCTCTGTCACCAATGGAAATGTCTAAAGGTGGCCTGATTGTCATCCATCACCCCTAGTGCTCCTTCTTTCAACGTTTATGGGGGAAATAGTTTTGTGCAGGGTCAAAGAAGAAGTTCCCGATCGTTGGATCGCGAAGTAGTAGAGATGGACGGAAGTACTACGGCGGACTAGAGCGACAAAAAACAGTCAAAATGATTTTGTTTTTCTGAACACGTCCATTGCGGCTTTAAATGCCACGAACCTCTACAACACCACCAATATTGATCTCGATATAGAATTATTTGAACCGTAGATGGGCCCAGCAGAATAAGATATATATGTATATGTATATATATATATTCTTAAGCTTAAGAATTTACGGAAATATTAAGTAAATATCTCTCATGAGAGACTTGTATTTTACTGTATAGATTTAGAAGTTCCTGGATTATTCGGGTAACTTTTGCCTGGAAGCAGCTCAGCCACTACACCCGATTTCACGCGTTCCTGTAAATCCATTCACTAACTATACCACCAAAAGTCTCTAGGGGAAAAAAAGAAAGAGAAAAA